GGAAAGTACCATCATGGTTTAATGTTGGGTTAATATTTTTAGCAAGCAGTGAATCATTTAACCTCCACACGTAGGACCTGCTATCTGAGCCAAACAGGTTGAACTGGCATTCGTCAGTGATTAGCACGTTCTTCAGAAATAACAAAACTCTTGGTTGGTTTCCGTTTTTTCTTTTGTTGATAAATGGTTTACGCCTTCCTCTTCTGCCCTTTGAAGTCATCCGTGTTGATGTAATATATTTTTTATTGTTTGTGAGTAACATTTTTTGCCTAAATCGCTTTCGCCAGTTTTTGCGAGTTTTCGTGCACTTAAAAATGCATTCTTTTTGACTTGGCGTGGAATATATTGCACATTGTTTAGGAAGGACATTTGATTTCTGGCTACTTTTGACTTATTTCAACTCTTTTTTTCAGTTTTGTATAACCTTATTGTATTGTTCTATAATTGGTTTTTTTTAAGATAGGACTCGTACCACTAGATCGTGGATGTTCTTTTCAAGAGAAGTACATTTCAAAGTTCTCTTATTTACAATTTACTTTTGGCAATGCTTTTGACTGCTCAACTCAAATATTCTTTTTTTTACTACTCTGCCTTCCACAAATATTCTATTTATATAAATTTTTACAAGCTTGTTACTATACCCAAATTCATGGCTTCATTTTTAATCTCTGTCTGCTTTTCCGCTAGTCGTTTTCTTCGCCGGCAGGTGCATGACGCGCCGCGAATGTGCATTTGGGTTTTTTCCTCTTTAGGGAATTTATTATTTGGGAAAATTACTTAGCTGACTTTAGCTGACTTAGGTTTGACTTACTAGCCCGCTTATCTCTCGAAGCGATTTTATATTTTTATCAATTTAAGTTTCGGGACTTCCTCAAATGTTTTTCGCCTAATAAACCAAAACTGTACGAGCTCAGCTTTTAAGTTGAAATTCGACACTTTTTCGAAGATCTATTTTTAATAATAAAAATAACTTTTGAAATTTGCCTATGCCACTGAACGTAGTACCCAATACTATAAAAAAGCAAGTGGATTTATTTTTACAACACGTTTAGTTTTAAATATATTACACAAAACAATTATTTTTTCTGAGTGTACGAAAAATTAATTTATTTTTTCCACTCTGTTTCTGTTATCACAGCGAAATTGAAGCAGAAAAAATGTAGGAGATGGAAGAACTTTTACCCGCCCATCATCCCCGACTTTATGGAAGGCTTTTTCTACATCTAGCAATATACCCAGCAATAATTTTTTCTTCCAGTAGCTTCTCCAAAAAGTATATGTATTGCTCAACAGCACAATTTTGATCTTTGAAATTAAACTGTGGTCAGCAATAATAAGTTTTTGCTTTAAAACTCGTAAATTTATTTCCTCAAACATATTAGAAAAACTAACCAGCAAACTGACTGGGCGATATGAGTTTGGAACATTTTCTGACTTACTAAGCTTAGCCCCCACAACTATTTCTGCGCTTCCCATTGGGCCGGGTAGTGGATCTTAATATATTGTTAAAGATTAATGTTAAGAAAATGAGAGTGTTAGAAGATAAAGATTCAATAATTATTTCACTTATGAAATTATAACCAGGTGATTCACATTTACTTCGCTCACTCCTTCTTTGACTCCAGCAACTGATATATGTCCAATAGGTTAATCTATGGGACATAGACCGTCTAGAATTTCGAATATATCTTCCGTGTTTAAACTCTTACAACGGTTGTTAGGCTGAGAATGTCCTAATTGGTAAAATTTTTAGGTTTCTTCATATCATTTCTGCACCAACTTCCGGATCTATTTCTCAAAGCAACAGTTTGCTCGAACGGTCGTTTAAGACAAGTAATGTTCATCAAACTTGCCTACATATTGATTAAAAATTGTATATTTGTTTTTATTTTAGCTCCCTTGTAGCTCTATTCAAATTCTAGTGAATTCCTATTCATTTGCATTGTCTTCTTAACCATCTCTTGTTTCTGATCAATCGCCTTATTTCAAGGCCAAAGTAAGTATTTCAATATATAGGCTCTTTCAAACGTAGATTAAGATGTAAATGATTGTCGATCAAGTCCCTTAAAGTCCCAATGTCAATTCCACGATTGATGATCTTATAATTGTCGGAGAGATTGTGAAGAGTCGTGTTGAAGCTGATAATCAATGCAGAGTCATCAGAACTAAGGACATCTTTCTCATAAATACTGCGAAACCCAGCAAGTCAAGAATGTTCGTTAGATCAGATGACAGTGGGGGTTTCCTAATTGAGCGTTGTTTATTAAACAAAGGAAATTTTTCTTGATTGAAGGAATAATTATTATCGCGAGCTATCCTCCGGTGATCTGCGTGAAGCAGAGTTCTGAAGGTTCTTTTTCAGAAGTAGCTGGTACATGTAACGACCTTTATGACATGATGGTTTTACAAACAACTAACACAATTTGAAGTTAGGTTAGTTAGGTATATGCTTAACTACATTATATATGTTGAAAACTATTATTAGTTTATCATTTCGTGCAATATGCGGACGAATATATAAATGAATATGCGTATAAGAAATATTGACGTTAAATTATTCCCCGGAGTTTTTAACAGTTTACCGTTTGTTGATTAAGAGCAAAACAAATTTCTTAAATTTGGACACAGCCTATGATTCTAAAACTATTTCAATTTGTGTTTTAAGAAGTTATCGCGTACGGTTGTTAACAATTTTATTTTAATTCATTTTTCATTATTTTCATTTTATTTGATTATCGTAAAAAAGGAAATAAAATACGGGCACACTTAATTTTGTATTCAGGTTTATGCTTAACTTTTACCTAACTTAAAACTAAACTTATAAGTGTGGATTATTAACTGATATTATAGATCAAGTCAATTAGGTAGTAACTATTCTACCTTCTGTAGTAGAAGACCACTTTGGCATCTTTTAGCAATTGCTTTCGCTGTCCAGACTAGATTGATTAGATTTAATCATCAGGTATTGGGTAATTTTTGAATAGATTATGCTTCTGGTGAGGTTTCTGAAATATCCATTTAGCGTTTGGCTTGTTTGGAATTCAAAGGCATGCGGGTATAGCGAAATGAAACTTTACCCTTTTCAACGGACTTGTCAATAAACCATATAAATTTATTTAGAAGACCACTCGGAGTTGTAAGTATCTCTATCGCAGCACTTAATTGAAGAACCATTTAATGAAGTGGTTAGCGTGATACGTGGGACGTTTTTAAAGACCGTTTTTCCTTCTTAAAAAATGCTTGTTCGGCATTTGTTTTATTCCCTTAAATTTCTACTTTTTCAAGAATTCATCATCTTTAGGTAACTTTTTAAAGTAGATTTGCAGTTCTTACTGTTATCTATAACAGGGAAATTACAATATTTTTTGTATATATCGGCGTTAAAACTTTCTGGAAGATAAGGGGCATCAGTTAGTAGAATGTTATATAGCACAATAGTTCTTGTGGATAGAAGGATAAGTCAATTGTCATTGTTTTGATGTTTTGATATATTAATAAGATTTTTGTTTAGTTTAAGTAAGTTAAGTTTAGGTAAGTTAAGTACCTTTGATCATCTACCAGTTCAAACGCTTCAGCATCATGAGGAATGTTTCCTACTCTTCAGCTGTATGTGGAATGAAATTTTCTCATTTATAAAGCCAGTTTGTGCGTATGCATGTTGCATGCATACCCGAAAGTAGATGAAGGTTTAGAAAAGTTTTTTTTATTATTGTCAAAATTCTTTATAGAAGAAAGCTAGTAGTATCTTTAAACTGTATAGTTGATAAAAAAATATGCTGCCTTTAAACCGTAATTCATCAAACTCAGGGTGACAGCAATAGCTTCGTGTATGTGAAGATACCTTCACATTTGGTGGTTTTTATTCGCCATTTATAAATTGCAGCTGATGTAGCGGTACTTATACAAAAATGGAAGAAATCACGCCCATCTAATATCGTAATTTAAGTCCCCCTACTTTTTTTTTTAAAGAAGAATGGTGGTATAGAAAATCGCGACGTAGTTCAATATAATTTTGTTACTTCTTTTTTTGATTTTGATTCAATTCACGGAGCCCACAATTGTCGAGTGTTCTCGAACTGATACAGAACTACCGAGCTTTATAACAAATTATCAAAACGTGCGGGGTATCTCTGCCTTAGCTACCACTCTCAATTCATCATTGTCAAGTGCTCGCCGCCGCTTTGGCCTTTTCCATCTTTCTTTCGTAATCATAAATTACTTAAATTAAGAATACATCGTTTGCATTTCTGCGAAGGGGTGCCGCGTTACAAGCCTCTTACATTACGGCTCAGTCTAAAAAAGTTACATTTGCTACTTGGTAGATCTTCGACGCTCGCCTGTTGAAATCGCTGCGAAAAAATTGGAAGTTGTTTTGTTAAATGTAGGCGTGTCTGTTCGCCAATTACGATCAACGAACTTTTAGATGCCTTTGGCATATATTTTGGCCAATTATTAGTGTTAGTATGTGCTTTAAGCTTTAAGTCAGAGTTTTTGGGCTTGTTTCACAAGACAATTATCTCAACTTTCACATTTTTGTTGCGGTTTTCGCGAATTAAAAGTTCCAATGGGCGACGACCAAATGGGTGAATGGACATGGCTTAATAGGCTCAAAATCGTATCCTAATTAAAAAGAGATCTGTTTTATGTGCTCTCTAATGCACCTTACAATAATGGAAAATCTCATATTCGTTCCTTCGCACGTTGGTGCGCAAACAACAAGCATAGCACTTGTTTGTTAATGGTTTTAAGAGTTACCGTCCAGAAAACCCAAATATGACTGGAAGTTGTGCAAAAGTAATCTAAAATGCTCGCATTTTTGTACAGATTGCTGACTGAAAAACTTCAGAGCTGTTAGCTATGAGTCACCTCAGAGACGTGTTTTGTAACCAACCATAAAAGATTGCTGAAATTTACAGTATAGATGAATAAGTGTCAGTGGATGGTTTATTTGAGTGTTCATGAGTGCTTATACTTTTCTATAAATGCCCTTTTCTACTTAGGGGTATTTTTCGCCGTACGTCACAAACAGGATCTGTTCGGTAAGTAGAATGCCGTGGCGTCTCCAATTTTTTAAATTCATGCTAGATCAATTAAAAAGTTCACAGAACAAAAATTATGTAACACGGTTGTTTACAGCTAAAGTGTAATTTTATTCTTCAGCAAATTCTTGTTGAAATATAATTCATATAACCAGCGGCTCCCCAATTCATTCATTCCAAATCTAATTTGCTTCCTGAAAACTCTTTTAAACGTTCGTATACTGCTACGATAGCCCCTTCATTAAAAGACAAACGTTTGTTGGGTGGAAACGTATAAAGCTCTGTAAGATTTGATTTTTCTGTCGCAATATTTGTTCCAAATGCTGCCCTTTGCTATTGTAGCATAAACTTTCGATGAATTTTTTTCATTAAGATTAATTGGCTAACATGTGAAGAAAAACAAAAAACTTAACTCAATCAAATTAAACGCCATACATAAACTAGTAAACTTCTTTATTGAAATATTTTTGTAATTTTTTTTTCTTTCTTTTTTGCAAATGCTTATAATGAACACTACTAGATGTATATGAATATAATGTATACGAATATAAACGCAAAAAAACGTATGGAGAAACACGAACTTTGCTAAAAGTTATCTCAAGTCAACAACAATAGCAACAAAAAAAGTATTAAATAAAAAAAATGTTATAAAACTAGACAAGACCGAGCAAAATTGGTTTTTTGAAATAATTGTGAACATGTACTTTTATTTAAAAAAGGCCTAGTGAAAATCTTGGTTGTTGTTCTTTTTTAATATGCATTGATTATCGTCATTTTGTACATTTGAAATCATCCATAAATGAACAGAGTAATTGTTGTCATGACACCGATCATCGCTGTGATTGCTACTATTGTCATCGTTGTAATTGTTCCAATCGCATTTTTTGTATGCTGATTGCAGTATGAAGTTTACATATGAAACCAAATTTTAGCACAACGAAAACGGGATTGTGGAAAACTGTGGACAAAAATTGAATGGATTGAAAATATGTTTTGAACAAAATTATAGAAGAGAACCGAAAATTCCAAAAATAAATAAATAAAAACAGTACTTATAAACCTAAACGAGCATATAAGTTTAATAAAACGATGTTTAGTGCTTGAGTACTTGACTGGTTTAATTTTTAATTATTTCTAAAGACTAAAAAGTGTTTGATTGCAGCGGTTGTTTTGTTTATGCTTCATTGTGTGGCAAATTATTTGGGATTTGAGAATACAAGACAGGTTAGAGTCCAACAAATTAAACAAATCGAATCGATAGTCTAATATGATACGTGATGGATCAAAAATGAAATTTAATAATAAAAGTCCTGTTAACTTGTACGTAAACTCATAAACCTTTGTGTTTTCGTGGTAAATGTGCTGTAAAAATCAATTAAACTGGAAAAGTGCTTGCTAGCAATACAAGACCGAAAAGTACAATTTATTAACCATGCAGCTACTAATTTATTAAGAATTCATGTCATAAGAAGAAAATAAGAGTTTGTATAGTGCCCTTTGGGTCAAGGTTAATACAGCATTCCGTGAGCGTGAAGCTTGAAAGGCTTGACATGTAGTTTTTTTTATATTATCTGCAAATTTAAAGAGATGATCGCATAGATGAATATAAGCAATAATATTATAGATTCTTTCGTTCATGTGGCCTCCGTTATTCATAAATATGTATAAGAATAAAAGAATATTTTTTTTTATTTTTTAAATTAAAAAAAAAAAAAATGTAATGATATTCTTTTCATTACTTCCTAAAAAAGAAAAAGTGTGAACTCGAATTTCAGTTATGAGAGGAAAATAGATCGTAGGTTTCGTTGGAGAAATTTCGGGATCTCCCACATAGAAAAACGGGCCGATGGAGACTACAGGAAGAGCAGGCTGTGGAGTGGCCCAGGGCATATGATTAGTCCGTCCGGTAAATAAGTTCGGTTCGGCGGTTCGTTCGTCCTCATAATGGTCACGGCAAGCGTATTTCTTTGATGTAACCGTGAGTGTAGCTAGCTTATCAATGACACGTAAGTGCATCCCTTTATAGCCTACTTTTCAACTTTGCGACTTTTTTGAGAGATTTTTTACAGATCCGAGATAAAATGAAAATAACAGGTGAACAAGTCCACCACATTCTTGCCTTCAAAACTGAACAATAGATATTAGTCGTTTCAGTTGTTTACCGCAGTGGGTCAAACTGGTTTGAACTAGGTCAAATTCATTTTCGTAGACCTTTACGACCGAAATTCGCTTCGATCCAAATACAGCATAAATAAAGGTTAGCGTTTTGACACCCACCAAGAAAAGATTAAAGTTAACTAGTCTGCTCCTTCAGCGATACCGGAAAAGTACATTAAGGGCCGGCGAAGAAATATTCTCCGATCAGATAGTAAATGCCATATGGTTCTTTGGTTTAGTGGTTTTCCAAGGTTCATCCCAAAGCGATCATAACTCTTCGCTAAAGCCACATGTTAGGCGTTTTTTTCTTTATTCCTCAAAAATAATAACTAATTTAAATATCTTATAATCCAAATATATATATTACATTTGCAGACTTTTCATCGGTATTAAAAAACTTCTCGGTCTGGTTGATTTGGCACGGCAGACTGAACCTCAACATCGAGCAATTAAATTTTTGACAAAAATGGAGGAAGAGGGCGGTTTAGAAATGATGCGTCAACAGTAACTATTTTCCAGAGACTTAAGCGTGTCCGTGCTGAAGCTCCACAATGTTTTTTAATTTGCAAGTTAAGTAAAAAATAGCATAAAATAAAATGCTCTGCTCTCAGAAATCTCGTCTATTAAGAACGAATATATATTGTTATACGAAAATGTTATCAAATTATAAAACGATATTTAAAAATGATTCTATTATTAACCGTAAGCATATATATGAAGAGGAACTTTATCTATTATGGAAGGATAATATTAAAACTAGTTAATTTTAAATTGGTATTAAAAAAAAATCTAAAATTAGTAAAAGGCTTCAAAAAATTTGCATGCCACTTGAAATAAATGTTCGGTCATTAAGTTTGCTGATAATAGGTTCTTAAAAACAATATTAATACTGATGATTTACTTAAGTTGAAGGTATAACTTTTGAAAACATTCCACATTAAACGTCCATTAGCTTATGATCTCTTGTTGAAAAAGAAATAAAATAATAGCCTCAAAATTGTAAAAGCAATGAATATTCAATTGAATGCTTAACAATTATTTAACAAACATTAAAACTTTTCTGAAATCTCTAGACAAATAAGCTTCAGACTGCAAATCATAGCTTAATGTTTTTTCATTTGTAACCGAAGAATCTAGATGTACTCATTTTATCACTGCTTTGGCAAAATTCAGTACCCTCATAGAGCACATTGTTGCTCAGAATATGAATCGATTTAGTCAATTGTCATTAATTGTTGGGATTTTCAAATTCCTAAATATTGAAAAGAACTTCCAGTACACATTTTTTGTCAACGTCCGCAGATCATATTTGGAATTATTGATAAACACTTAAATAATTGTAAAATCTACCTAGCAAATACCATGTAGTTTATGTATTCAGGGTTTGCTTATCTCTTGTTTATTGCTGAAATTCTTAAGGAATAAAGTTAAACTGTCTAATTTCAACATGGAAAATTGTATTGCGTGAGTTGTGGGCGAATCTTTTGCGCTCGCCTCCGTTATCTTTAAAACAAAAAACGACAAAAATGAAACTTCAATATTTCATAATATTCGGCAGGCGTGGCCGATTCTTTTCTTTTTGGACGGATACTAGTGCATTATCTGTAAAACACAACACACGCGCATATTTTTATCGTTATATCTGTTGCAGTTTAAAAGAGACGAACAAAAAGTACGTTTTTTTTTTGTATTTCATAATAGAGGTGTTGTCAGTTAACGTTGCACTGCAAAAGTGACTTTTTCCCGATCTGGCGCATTTTCAATATGAACCTGCTGTCAACTTCCCTCCAATATTTTTGACAAATTTGGAGTCAACATCTTTATTTTTGAGACCAGCAGATATTTATCCAAACGTTTATGCTTCGAGTCCAAATTTGATACTGACGGAAAATATATATATTTTAAAAGATTTCGGAAATTTCTTTTTGGGTTATGCAAACATATTAAAAGAATATATAGTATTATATTAAATGGTGGGTATAGAAACTAAAATTTGATTTTGTATATAATTTATGATCGATAGCAGGTCACTATATGAAATGGACGTATCATGTAAAAGTGTTGTTAATCACACACCTCGCAGAATTTTCACTTTCTTAGCTTGCCAAGGAATTTTATTGCTGTTTACCAGCTGCATAATATGTGTGTGTTTCATGACATCGGCGGGTAAAGCATCAAACATTTTTATTTGGGATTATTAGCTTCTCAATTCATTTTATATTTATTTTAAAAATTATCTGAATTACTTGGTTTAACCTTGCTCGTTTCGAACAAACCATGAAATTATTTTCTTTATCGTTGTGATAGCCGTGCACTGTGCTTCCCAGTTCGATTGCAATTTCCACGATAACACCTTTTCACACGTTGGGTGTGATATGCGAACAGCATTAAGTCTCATTCAAAAAAATTTCGTTAATTCGCATTCTGATTAGTCTTAGCTTCCAATTTTCGATAAAAGTTCGGTTTCTAACTTGTAGTGGTGATCTGCGACTTTCGACCTTACTTCCACATTTGATTAAAGACGTTGGTCTTAATCATGTGTTCACGACTGCCATCAGACACTATTTAAGAATACATTCGCTTTATATCTTTGATCGTTTTTTTTTTTTTGTATTTTTGCACGATTTCGTCAGTCTTAGTTCAAGGCTTGACCAATAACTTCCTGGTACCTAAAGAGTTCCTAGTAAGCCATATGCGCCATAGGAATCTACTTTCGATATTAAAACTTATGTCCCTGTTATAGGACTTTCTTTGTTAATTCTTCTGAATCTGGAATATTCACCCTTGGGAACGGCAGTTCTAATAACTTTGGGATAAGCTTTAAAGTCCCTAGCCTAACCGCTTCTCTAGGCATTTCCGCTTCTATGTTCACTAAGCTGAGTCAATGTGCGTATAATTATGGGCTGTTTAACCCGTTCAGAGTTGTTTGCAGAAACCTAAATAGTGTGTATCACTTAATCTCAATACCGGAGTCTTTAAACCTAATCAAAACAACTATGCTTAATAGGCGGGATTTGCTTATGTCGTATTTAAACTGACTTTTAATATCTCATTATGGCTCGAAAATTAATTGGTGTTGCTTACTGTAGCGCTTGCCAAGCTTCTGTATGTTTGCGATAGCTTAGGGATTCACTTGCAATTTGGTTCTATACTGGTTGTGGGTGTGCCTCTGTGCTAGTTGTGCACATGCTTTTTTTCCTTTTTTTTTTCTTATTTATTTACACATGAATTATTATTTAATAGTTATTATTATTATTATTTCCCCCTTATATTTCCTTATATGTATTAAACTCGTTTTTAATATTAATTAGTGTATAGATTTACTTCTAAGAATCAATTGAATTCGACTGTTAATTTGTTTTAGTTGAATTTCATGTGTAAATAAAATTAAATAAAAATAAAATCAATGTAGGCGAATTACGCATTGCGTATATCTTGTTTTAAGAAACTTTCATTCCGCTCCACCTTAATCCGATAGTATTTTCCTTTCTTCTCTTCAGATATGCGATTTTCATAGCTTTCCTTACATTGTGGACGACTCTCGTCTTTATGTTTCTGTATCCGATAGTATTTACAGGTGATTGAATCCGATACTTGTTTGCTTTTACGCAGTTTCTTCCGAAGCAATGCTCCCAATGCTACCGAAGCTTGCTTACTAAAAAAAAAAAACTTAAATCCGATGTTAACAACTAAAATTTTATGAAGTGCATACATTGACTTCTAAAATTAATATAGAGGCGAAGCAATGCTCACAATTACTTCAGCACAGCGACAACCTCGAAAGGGTATTCGTTAATAGTCTATAACTTGATGCAATTAGCTATCGGAAATCGTTTAAGGAGACGATATAAACATTTTTATTGTTATATTATTGTATTATATAACATTATTCTGGAGTACACATGCAATATATTGAACTAGGTTAAGTAACGAATAGTTTAAACACGACTTTTGAAGCGTTAAAGTTTTAATTAGATATCTGTAATAGATTTTTTCTTTTTTTTATTGAACGACTGCAGTTCTCTAAATCGAGTTTTCATATTAATAGCACGTTTTTTTAACACATCGCCCGAACGATCTTTTACTGTTCGTGTTGTTAGACATTGGACTGTCTTATCAGTGAATCAGAAATCCTTCGATGAAACTTATAACGTAGATTTTGTTGCTGGTAGCAATTAATGAAAGCGAGATGATTACGTTCGCTGTTATCTAGGTGACTTGTATACGCACTTATTTTATGGTTTCATTTAGTACATGAAATGTTTTTATGTAACCAAGTAATAAGCCTGTGGATTTATAGTTACGTAATAAATGAAAATGAAATGAAAATTATAAACAGTATCATTTCATTTTCTAACTTCTACAGTATTGCTGGGTTAACCAAGTCTACTTTCGTACTTCATCTACGATTATCCTCTGATAGCGAAATCAAAACTTCAGATTGCTCTACCCTATCTCTTTGAAAACTCCACGGATATAGATAATTCGGCTTAGAATCAAACGTAGATCAAATATATTCACTTCACAGTTTTTCTGATCATTCGGCATAAATTTATTTGGTGCTCATCCTCCCCTTAATGATAAATAGAAAAAACTGACTCGAGAAAACGCAACTATTATAATCATGTCCTAGAAAATTATTTTTTTTCTTATAAACGTTAATTTTAGTAATTTGCTTTTGTTTGTTTGCAATTTGTTTAAGCGACTGAGTATCGCATAAGCAGAAAATTGGTTGAAGTACTTAGTTTTTTCTGTACGAAACGCATTATTTAAAAACATATATATGTTTCATTTTATTGCTTGTGGAATGTAACAAAAGCATAAATCCGAATCTTGTTTGTTAATGTTAAATAAATCTGCAAGAATAATTTGTTAATAGAAAAACAAGAAAACTAGTTGTATTTCAGATTTATATTGTTTAATTAATGTTTATGGGAAATTGATAAAACAAAGTTGAACGAATTAAATTAATTGTAGTATTGACTAAAGATATAAGCGTGTCTTCGCTAATTTCAATACATAAATATGTGAAGTACATACACGCATGCATATAAACTTGATCGTTATATAAATGAACAGGAAATATAGTTTTCCTCAATAATAATTAATGTAAAACTTGAAAAACTGCTTTTTACTCATTATCGGACTTTTATATGGTAAACGGAAGTAATGAAATAATAAATAACTTAAAATATGTACACAAAAAAAAAAAATAAATTTATCGAGTGGGCAATGGGTAACATAAAAATTGTGTCGATGCATTGATTAGAACTAAATACATTACCCACCTTTCAAATAATCTTAATAATTTATATCAAAAAATCGTTATAACTTATAATAATACACATTTTTTAAAACCAAGTGCTATGTATCGACAAACCTCAGGTTTTTTCCGTTCATTGCGGCGAATGACATTTTCGAGTTGGTCCTCATCATGTCGAATACTTTCGGAATGATCTTCTTCATAATTTTCTCTCTCTAGAATTCTCTTGATGTAGCATTTTTTCGTTTGCGAAAATGGATTTAATGAGTATGAATGAATTTTATTATTATTATTATTATTTTAATTTTAGACTAATGAATTGAATTCTTAGACTAAAAAAAAGACATTGAGCACTAGCAACACAGGCTATCGGCTCTAATTTAAATAAATGGATATTAGATAATAAGCTTAGTAGTATTAATAAAGTAAAATATTGAATTGATATTCTGTTCTGAAGCTGATTGTAGAATGTTCAAAGGGTTAGTCGCTCCAAATGCAATACTTCTAGCCAAGGAAAACTTAAGGCAGTCGCAGAGAATGTGCTTTATATTTAGAGTTTGTCTACAACTGCAAATTGGGGAGGAAGATTTCTTCAAGATCCATTGGCGAGATGCGATAGTATGACCAAGGCGAATTCTCGAAAATGTTTGTATTTTAGTTTTCTCAACGTTTGGTGGATATAAAGGTGGAATTAATTGAGGGTTAATGCAAGAGTAGTGTTGATGATGGTATTGTAAATTTCGTTCTGCAATTTTCTCTTTCTTCCAATGTATCTTTGAAGATCCAACTTTTCCATGACATCATCCATAATTAGAGGAGCAGAAGCAGCATACTTTGCCGCTCGATCAGCCTGCTCATTTCCCAGTAAACCGATGTGACTTGGTACCCATAATATTCTAATTTATCCCTCGGGTTTTGTAATTATATTCCTTAATTTGTTGATGGTGCTCCATCTGGACGTCGAAGGGTTCCGAATAGCTTGTAATATAGACAAACTGTCAGTAACAATGACGGTTTTGAGTTTGCTTTTATGGGCAAGGTTCGCAGCGTGCAGGATAGCCCTGGCTTCGGTTGTAAAAGTTGAAGTACTTTCGTGAAATATGTGATTGAGAAGAACCTGTCCTGTAGCACCTACCACGGCACAAACAGGAGGCAGGCCAAAAGATTTTGAGCCGTCTGTGTATAAAAGATCCCAACCACTACTCTCCGGTACTTGGGTTTTCTCAGCTATTAGATTCCTGAAGACGTAATTTGGAGTATCTTCTTTCTTATGCATAGACAGCGAGATGTCAAAAGACCAGTCTTTCAAAATCCATGACGGTTTAACACCAAAAGAGCGGAAAATTTTTAAGGGAATATCCAATTCCTTTGCGACGTACAAACGATGGTCAATTGCAGATGGTGACTTTGGAATTTTCTTCGCAATAATAATCTTTTTCACGTCATCACCGAGACTAGATTTGTTTGAATTAAGAAGCTCAGCTTTAGCTTTTAACTCATATAGTCTATTTTCTAAAGTTGGGAGACCAGTTTCAATTATAATATTACTTATGGGCGTCGTCCGAAAAGCATAACAACTTGCTCTGACGGCTTGGTGATAGACGGGTTTAAGGATGTTGATATTTGATTTGCAGCTATTGCCATAAATTATCAAAGCATAGTCAATCTTGCTTAACACAATCATTTTGGTAAGATAAGCAATAGTGTCAATATACGCATGGCTTCTCCAAGCAACCTACTGTATGAAATTCACCCTTGTTAAAATAGAAATTTTTAACCGAAGACAGTGTGCTTTCCAACAAGCATTGTTGGAAAAAGTGAGCCCGAGAATATGCAGCGTCTGCACGTTTAGTACTGGTAAGCCATTAATATGCATCAGCAGATTTCCTGCATCGCAAATCTGCTTTCGAC